GAAGCTGGAAACATTCTTACTTTGGGCCTTGCTCGGGATCTAACAAAGTTCTCATGTATACCAGGCAAGTGCTCTCACCTCTGAGCTACATACAGCCCTGCCCTTAGTGTTGTTTCAGAAAACGGATCTGCCGGTTTGCCTTTTCCCAGGAGAGAAGGAAAGATTAGAATGGCTGCAAAGTGGGCTTACCATGTAAGAATTGTGTGGCCCCCACCCATCAATACCGGATTGCTCAAGAGTTTTTGATCATTTTAAGCTACTGAATTTTTACATGCTGGTCTCAATCCATATCCACCCTCACCTCCTTACACTTGGCACATACTAATCAAAAGGAGAATCGTGCTCTTGTAAGAGTAGAAAAAGAAGAGAAATTATGCCATATTTCTAAGCAGACTCTTCTGCAGAATTTGAATTTACATCTTGTATCTCAAAGTCCCTCACTTAAAATCAGCTTGATTTTGTACACCTCTCATGTTGTTTTAGAGACAGAAAGTCATGTTTATTAAAAGGCATTCACCTGGACCGTGAGCCTCCATGGGGACTGGCTTTTCATCAGGCATAAAACCAGCCATTCAAGGAGACTGTTTTACAGACTGCTTGTTCTCCACAGTTGCAGGAGTTTTCTTCAAGGAGTTTTTGCCAGAGCTAGATTTCCAGGTTTTATTTCCTAAAATGGAAATTGATTAGGGGATTTCATCTTTTCCATCACTACTGTCTTTCATACCTTAGCTTCATCTGTGCTAATTAAGGGCTGAGTTTCATCCTGAAACTCCAGGGCGGCTTAGTTCAGGCCCTGCATTTAAATTAGCCAGTTCATTGATTTGAACAGAAACTGATACCTGCTACATTTTACCTTTGAAACAGATCAAGATCGTATGCCAGTACTTAGAAGATTCTTCAAACTTCTTTGCCTCCTGTACTACCCTGAAAGAATTTTAAGCACAGGCTATCTCCTTACACAGTTTGTACATCTGCCTTAAACATTTTTCTAGGTTTTGGTTCTGGTTTCAGTCAAAACCTTAGAGCTACAGGTTTGACTCACTCAATTGATGGACAACACCCTCCCTGTGACCTTGTGGGCAGAGCCCGTCCTCATTATCAAGTCAGTCAGCCAAATCAGCCTGGCTTTCTATCACATAAAATCCGACTTCATTTTTCAATTAAATGTTAATAGTCTTCCTCTGACAACTTCTGTCCTGAATGTAATAATCATTGTAAGATAGGTAGTAGGTAGTTAAACAGGTAGGTAGGCGGAGACTGCCATGGCAGTCAGTGGGCGTGGAAGCAGGTGCTCCCTGCAGTGTTGCTGCCAGACTTCTTCTGGACTGTGCAATTGTCCTGGAATGCCCCAGGGAATAAGTTCTTCGCTTCCCACTGGAGGTCCATTCCATCAGCACCTTTTTTCTCTGACAGGTATTAGTTCCTGTGACTCGCTTTCATCCATTAAGTCTCTTCTGGATTCTGGGAAGAGTAGGTTACCACTGTAGGTGATTGGCCTCATTAACCAGGTTCTGCTGATGTGTGTAAGCTACAAGTATAGGAGGGTTCCACCTGCCAGCCCTGCCCCTGGATGTGAGTGATTCCTCATACCCAAGGAGCCTAGAGTAATTAGAATTGGTGGAGTAGTACAGTAATTGACGTGTAAGCGAAAAGAAACTACCTACCAGATACTGCTGGTTTAGGTGATGCTATGGTATAAGAACTGTACTGTATTAACCCCCAGGGAAATAAAAACACAAGTGTTTTAGCAGAAAATTATTGGCAAAGTATGCAGTGAAACACATGCCCACTGGTGCTGGTTAAGGGAGATTTTAGGATAAATAAGCTATGGTCTCCTTCATCGCTAGTTAATTTCTTCTGCTTTGGGTTTGGTTTGTTCTTTTCTGACTTCTTAGGGTGGAAGCTGAAGGCATTTCCTTCTAAGGACTGCTTTGGCTGCATCACTTTCACATCACTCAGTACTTCCTAATTTCCCTTTCACTTTCTTATTTCTTATTTATTTTTTTGTGGTACTGAAGTTTGAACTTAGGGCCTACACCGTGAGCCACTCTACCAGCCCTTCTTTGTGACAGAGTCTTTCAAGATAGAGTCTCTTGAACTATTTGCCTGGGCTGGATTTGAACCGTGATCCTCCTGATATCTGCCTCCCAAGTAACTAGGATTATTGGTGCCCAACTCCCTTTTGGTTTCTTCTTTGACACATGAGGTTTTTTTAGAATCATGTTATTTAGTTTCCAAATATTTAGGTATTTTCCAGATATCATTCTGCCATACTGGAGATTGAACTCAGGTCCTCACACTTGCCAGTACCACGTGAACCACATCTCCAGTCCCCCGTCTGTGTTTTTGTGTGTGTGTGTGTGTTTGAGACTTCCTCTCATGTAGTCTAGCCTGAAACTCGTGATCCTTGTTTTAGCCTCCCAAGTGCTAGAATCTCAGGTGTGCACCACCCACCTGGCTCCCATTTGTTCTTCATTCTCTTCCCCTCTCTTTCTGCTGCCTTTTAGATCAGTTGGTTAATAGTGTCTCATTTTCTCTCTTTTTTTTTGGTGAGATGGGTTTGAACTCAGGGCTTTGCACTTGCAAAGCAGGCACTCTGTCACTTGAGCCACACCTCCAGTGGCTGTCTCCTCTTTGGTACCCTGGTCTTCCAACCCCATCTCTTCAACATAAGGAGACAGTCAGCACTGCTCTGGCTTCCCCTTTGCATGCCAGGAAGCTAGGGTGATGCTAGGATCACTTCATTTCTGCTTATTTCTCAGGAATCTCTGTCCTTTGTTATAATAATCTCCTTAAGTCTTTGTCCAATGACTTAAAATCACTATTTCGTGTATTTTGTCTGGACTTCTCATTACTATAGGCAGGAAGGTGAATCGTTCCTGTTACTCCCTCCTGGCTGGAAGCCCTTAAGTTCCTAAACCAGTTCCATGATAGGGAGAAGTTCATTCAGTTAAAAGCTACAAGCTGCTGCCAGTGGCTTATGCAATCCTAGCTACTCATGAGGCAGAGATCAGGATGATTATGGTTCAAGCCAGCCCAGGCAACCAGTTAGCCAGGCTCCCCTCTTGAAAAAAACCCAACCCAAAAATGGCTAGTGGAGTGGCTCAAGTGGTAAGAGCACCTGCCTAGCAAGCGTGAGGCCCTGAGTTCAAACCCCCAAGTACCACCAAAAAATAAAATTAAAAAAAAAAACAAATAAATAAAAACCACTAACTTACTAAATAGGGGATTTTTCTTATGTTTGTAGGAAGGAGCCCAAAACATCACTTGTTCCTTGTGCCTAAAAATAGGATTCGTGTTCATTTAAAGATCAGTTTGTTTATTTAGGGTTTTTGGCTCTGGACTGGCACTTTTTATATTAAAACTACTTAATTATGTGAATTCACAATCATTTTCTAGGTAACTATAATAAAATAGCTAATAGTTATTGAGTAGGTCATGTATCCTTTGAAAGCTTTATATATTATCTAATTCAGGCTTTAACCAGCTCTGTGAAGTAACAACGGTTCTATTACTGTTCCCATTTTGCACATAAGAATACTGCTAATGGCAAACGGTGTTTCCAGAAGACGTTGGTTCTGGCATGGAAGAACCCAAACACAACTGAGTGGGTGTAAACGGGGTTTATTAAACATTAGGGAAAGTGAAATGCAAAGGGAGTATGGTGGGTGCAGGGGGACTCTGCCGGCAGAGAAAGCGGGCTCTGCCGGCAGAGAAAGCGGGCTCTGCTTTTTCAGGTGCTTTTAAAACCCACACTAACCCATGGGAAGGTCAGACCCAGGAGATTCCCACCCTATAATCAATGAGTGGGGAGGGGCGTGGGCAGTTCCCAGCCAGGTACAAGTGGTTTGGGCCAACCTACATGAGCCCCAAACTTTTTCTCCGTCTAGCTTGCCTCAATACTAAATCACTAAGAGCTAAAGTAACTTAATCAAGATCACAGAGCTGGTGAGTGGTGGTGGGGATTTGAACACGGGGTCTGGCTCCAAAGACCAAACTGGTTCTAGATAAATTCCTTCATCCAGCAAAACTGATACGGGATCCCTCAGCTTTCCTTTGAAATAGTCATTTTATTTATGTATGTTTGTGTGCCTAGGTCATACCCATGGTTCAGTTTCAGAATATTTAGTGAAAATAAGTCTCCCAACATCCTTTCTTCCCTCATACCCCCAAAAGCTCCCCAAACCTTCAATTTTCACATCTTTTCAGAGGTGGTCTTCATGTATAAAAGCTTAGAGATAACTTTGCTTTTCCACTTAATAAATTATCTTCAGATCATCCCATATAAGTGGTAGTGCCTTATTAAAACTTGCACAAGGTTCATTGTATGGGTACACCATAGTTTATATGCCCATTCTTTTAAAAGGTGCAGTTACTCAGTTTCCATACTTGTGCTATTATAAAGGTTACAAACAAGCCTCATTTCATATACATATATATGAATTTCCCATATGTGCAAGTATAACTACAGGATAAATTCTAAAACGGAAAATTACTGCGTTGGAACTTTTTCTTTTTTTTTTGCGGCAGTGGGGTTAGAACTTGCACTTGCTAGTCAGGCTCTCTACCACTCCAGTCACACTTCCTGCCCCAAAGAGTTGGAGCCTTTGTAATGTTAATAGTTGTAACTAAATCACTCTTCAGAGAGGGTGTGTGTGCCCCCATACTGTCCCTGAAGAGTTTACTAAGTTTTTTTTTGTGCCTGTGTCTTTAAAATAATGGTGATGAGCACTTTCAAAAGGTCATGTTTGTGAGGGATGTAGTTAGTTGATCACTGCATTTGTCTGCTAGAAACTGAGAAACAAATGATCAAAGAAAGACCAGTCCCTTTTTACTGATGATCATTTGCTCATCTCAGTTTACAGATGCCTGGTTGGGAGGACTAGAGTAGAGGGTCTGTGACGTGGTCCCCTTCCCCAAGCAGCTTGTGGTCTAAAGGGAGACACAGGAGAAGTAGCTATGATGGCTGCGATCTGCTTCGCATGGGTTGGAGAAAATTGGATAAGGGAACAAGTGTCGTTGCTTAGATAGCTTAAGAGCTGCCAGGGCCTCTGGATCTTGTTAAACTTGGAGCATGCCATCCTGGAAGCCTCCGGGTGGGGAGTAGGAAGTTTCCACAGCCCAAGAGCCGCTCCGGTGCATACTGCAAGCTGCACCTCGCGTGGAGCTTGCGTACGCTGCGCCCTGCGGACTTGCGGGCTGCAGGCAACAAATCGGCCGCCTGTGATTGGAGGACTGGTGCCGGTTGGGATAATGAACTTGGTAGTGTCGGCAGAGGTGATTGGCCAGGCGCTACTGCAGTGAGAATGCAGACTGGATGCTCGGGTGCTGGGTTTGGGTGATGAAGGAAGACAGCTGAATGACTGGGAGCTCGAAGTTCCTTCAGTCTGTGGGAGAGGTCTGTTTGGATATCACTTTTTCCTTTAAAAAAAAAGAAAAAACCAAACCTTTGATCACCGGCCATCTGCAAAAATGAGTTTTTACTGAAGAAGCCCAGCTGCCCTTCTTACTGGTAGCAAGCCTGGCAAGCGCTCTTTGAGTGAAGTACTTCTCAGGCCAGGCACGACAGCAGTACTAGCGAATTTGAAAAAAAAGCAGAAAACAGATCCTGCATGCAGAGCCTCCAACCTGAGAACTCCCCGGCCAGTCTTCCAGGCAGCTGTTAGCCAGAGACCCTTGGTATTGGGGTCACATCCCTCCAAAGTGGGCAGGCAGCATCAGTGACTTTCGGAGGAAGCGTGATGTTGCAGATGCTGTGGCATTTTCTGTCTAGCTTTTTCCCTAGGGCCGGGTGCCAAGGCTCCAGAGAGGGCACCGGTCATGAAGTCAGAGGCACCCAAGGTCCTGCTCGGGGAGACCAGATGTCAAGCTTTGTGGGGAAGCAGGACGGAAGGGCTGAGGCTTCGGAAAAGAGACCCACCATTTTGCTGGTGGTCGGACCTGCAGAGCAGTTTCCTAAGGTAATGGCCCCCTGAAAGAGGACCTCCCACTTTAAGAGCTGGTCTGGGATCATTTCACTAGGGAAAAAAAATGGGTGTGGGGAAGACAGGAGGGCAGATATAAAAAAAAATTAGTTTGGGATTAGGGATCAGAGAGAAGAAACCCAAAGATTCAATCTACAGTCTCTCTGTGGCCACTGTGACCATTGAGGGGAAAAGGTTGAATTTAATAGATTTGCTTTAGAATTTGTCAACTTGGCTGCAGAAAGTCATTTGAAAGTAAGTGTTGTCTTAGCATATCTGAACAGCCTAGGGAGGATCAGTTGGAAGGGCAAGAGACAATCAATGTCTTGAAAGTTTAACCTAATGGCCTGAAGCTGGGGGCAAGTCTTGTGGCATGCTGAAGGTCATAATCCCCTTGCCTTGGTGGAACCGACTTTATCCTTGGGGGATAAAGACGATGGGATGGGGTCAGGTCCTAGGAGAGGCTGGAGTCACGAGGTATGGAGGATGGTGGCCCTCTTGGAATGACTACAGCCACTCATGTCAGCCTGGACCTTTGGTCCTTCCTGAGCAGTGAGCATGGGTCATTGTATCCAGTCTTCACCAGAGCCAGGGTAAGACATAGCACTCCCACATCATAGATGAGGAAACTGAGGTGGAAGGTTAAATAAAAGGAGAAGTGGAGCCGAGATGCAGCCACACACCTGTCTGAAACTTTGCGCTGTACCAGTTCACTTTCCCTTAAGAAAGCAGTGTTTAATGGGACTAATTGAGTCCTGGCTCTTGGCTGAGATTGTTCTCATCTGCAGGTGACCTTGATCACCTCCTGATTGTTGGTTATTTTGAATCTTTTTTTCTTTCATCTCAGAAGGCAAGGGGATGCTACCCAGTGTTTGACTGGTTTTAGTTACACCCCACAAATGTTTTGCCTGGTTGAATTGCTACATTTAAGAAATGTTTGTTTTGCCTTACCAATAGAGAGGAACTTCTGCTCCTTTACAAATTTTGCAGTGACATTGAGGAGAATCCTCACACTGTGATGAGCTGTCTGCAGTTGTCAGGGGTCTCACAATCTGTGTCCTGCCTGAGATGTGTGAGTTTTCTGTGCCACTAGAAGGTGTTGCTTTTTACCTTTTGCTCGTTTTAGACAAGATCAGTGGTGCTTGTTTTTATGAGGAACTTTTATTTGTAGCCCTACTTGTCTTATGGCCTGGATTGCTGGCTGCCTTTTTAGATTACCTTTTTTTTTTTTACTTTACTAATTAACTGCTCCATTTCCCAGCCTCATACGGGCACCCCTTGCCAGGCCAGCTCTCTCCTGGGGTTGCCTGTTAGGACTGTTGGTTCTCATCAGCCTAGTTCCTGGCCTGCAGAATCAAAAGACCTACACCCTAAAAGGGAGATGGATTGGCTGGCTCTGTGTGGGGAGCCCTAGGGGGTGGTGGTGGAGAGAAAGCACATCTGGGTGGCATACTCTTGAAAGCAAGAAAATTAAGAATTGAACTGTGCATAGCACAGTGCATAAGATGTGAAGACTGAGGGCCCGGCCTTAGCCCTTCTCTCAGAAAGAGGCCCCCTGAATGCTAGGGAAACCTTGGAGAAGTTCTCTTTGGTTCTCAGGCTCCTCATTGTCCAGCAACACTACTTTGTTTCGCCCTCACTTCCCCTGGGGAAATGTCTGTTGGTGAGTCAGGTTCCTTCCTGTAAGCTTTTATTCTAGGAACTGCTCCAGTTTTCCCCTTTATCTTTGTTTTACAGTTAATCTGCAGTTGAGAAAGAAATCCATTAGTCTGAAGGAGGTGGCCTCATGGCATTGGAGCCTGCAAATCCTGAGGGGCCGTCTTCTCAGAAGCTTAGAATTTTGCTCATTGTGTGTGTAATTGCCAAGTGTAGGCAGGTTTCATTGGAAACCCGCTACACTGGGCTGTCATGGCAACCTGATCATCAAAAGACACTGCAGACACAGCAGCCAGTGAGATTAGAGAGCCTCCAGGGTGGGTGGGGCTTGTGAGGCTCCTTCACCAATTAAGATTTCAGGCTTGGTCTGAGTCATTGCAGAGGAGGGGGAGATACTTTCTGACCTAATGCTACACTCCCAAAGGCGTTGTACCTGCCCTCTTCTTACACTTATTGTATTCCAGGCCTTACAGGAAATACCTGCCTTTTTTTTTTTTTTTTTTTTTGGCATTGTAGTAAGGAGGGAGGACAAGGAAAGCTGACGGCAGGTCTGGCATGGAAAGATGCTAGGGTAGATCTAACCTTGACAGCTTAAATGAAATATGATGCCTAGGGATTCTAAGGGAACTAGCTCTGCTGTCATCGTTTCCATATACAAGCCATAGGAATAGACATCGGAGAGAGGAACCAAATAGATCTGGGTCACAAAATTAGAATAAGTGAAGACAGCAAAGAATCCTACGCAGTGCAGTGCTCAGGCCTTAAAGAGCGTGAGCTGCTGCGGAACGTCAGGCATAGAACCTGAGCCTGCTTCCTCATTGTGTCGCCCACGTAGGTGTTTAGAACCTCTGACACAGAGAACATTTGTTTTTAGCTCAAGCTAAACTTGCTCAAATTACACCTTTCCCGCCAGCCTACCTTCCAATATGTGCAGTTGATCACTGCAGTTCTCAGCATCAGGCTTCTAGACATTCTTTGGGAACAGAGCTCCAGAATCTGTTCCAAAGTGTGCTTTAAGTGGATGTGGATGTTATAACAAGGGCTGGCCCTGGCTGCAAGCCTGAGCCCTATCACCGACAGGCTTGGGGACTTGGTCAAATCAGGTCATCTCTCCAGGTCTGACTGCTCAACTCAAAGATTCATGGGATGACCCCAGAATCCCTCTGGACCCCACAGGCTGCAAGTTCAGGGGTAGAGTAGTTGCCTCAGACACTAGGCACCTAGAACTGACTCATTCTGAAACAATCCCAGTTCTGTGTAAAAATGGAGTTCTTGGTTTTGTTTTGGTGGTACTGGGGTTTGAACTCAGGGCTTCATGTTGCTAGGCAGGTGGTCTACCACTTGAGCCACTCTGCTGCTCTACCTACCACTTGAGCTATTCCACCAGCTGTGTTGGGCATTTTTGAGATAGGGTCTTGAGAACTCTTTGCCTGGGACTGCCTTCGAACTATAATCCTCCTGATCTCTGTCTTCTGAGTAGCCAGGGTTACAGGTGAGAGCCGCCAGAGCCAGGCTGGATAGTTACTAATTAAGCAAACACCAATTTAGGTGAAGACTTTTTAAAGTTTTTTGAGTCAGGTTCCCCCAGTGTAGTCCAGACTGACCTCCATCTCAAGATTCTCCTGCCTCAGCCTCCTAGGTATAGGGATTACAGGGTGTACCACATACCTGGCCCCAGTGAAGTCATTCTGTGGGACTCAATCATAGTAACAAAATAAAAATAACTTAGAATACCCTTTTAAAAATGTTGGGCCAGGCGCTGGTGGTTCCTGCCTGTAATCCTAGCAACCCAGGAGGCGGAGGTTAGTAGGATAGCTGTTTGAAGCCAGCCCAGGCAGATAGTTTGTGAAACCCTATCGAAAAAAAAATAGTACAAAACAGGGCTGATGAAGTGGCTCAAGTGGTAGAGCACCTGCCTAACAAGTGTGGAGCCCTGACTTCAAACCCCAGTGCTGCCAAAGGAAACAAACAAATTAATGTTGGAGGTACATGTCTGTAATTCAGCACTTGGAAGGCTGAGGCAGGAGGATCCCAAGTTGGAGGCCAGTCTGGACTACATGCTGAATTCAAGGCAACCTGGGCTAAATAGCAAGACCGTCTTGAAAAAATCTAATGTTGAGATTGAGAGTGTTGCTCAAGGCCCTAAGTTCAATTCCCAGCACCCCGAAAAACAAAACCTAATGTTGTAATAGCATTGATGTCACCCTTGTAAAATAACATGTTGACTGATACACGCAGAACATTTCAGAGAACTTCTCTTGGCCCCCTGAAGTTGTTGGTCTCTGTAGAATAATGAGCTTTGTTATAATCAAGGCAGTTCCATTTATTTTTATAAAAACCAATTGCTCTTATTTTACAGTACTTTAAAATTTTCCTCTTATAATATAGAACAGGAAACTTTTTTTTTTTTTTTAAGCAGTGCTTGGGATTGATCCCAGGATCTGGCGTGAACTAGATAAGCTTCTCTACTACTGAGCTGTGTCCCCAGCCCTAGAACATAAATTTCACTTTTATTTAGTATTGTTTTCAAGTCTTTTCTCAGATTTGTATTGTATATTTATCATAAAATTCAGGTTGGGGGTATGACTCAAGCAGTAAAGCACCTGACTAGCAAGAGTGAAGCTCTGAGTTCAAATCCCTACCACCAAAAAGAAAAACAAAAAGCACACTTGATAGTACAGTTATGTTTATCAAGATTATTTGAAAAATATACCTTATTTGGAACTATATTGAAATGAAAATCTCCACTTGAATGACTTATTTAGTCAAAATATTTGCTATTTTATGTTGGACTGCAATCTTCACCAAAATGAGATTCTGTAGAAGATCCATGTAATTTATTTTAGTTTCAGAAGTGGACATGAATCATTCAGCGAGGAAGACCATTTAAAGATTCCACTTTTATTTGTAAGTGTAAACTTCCTTTAAATAAATAGTAGCTTAGTTGGTAGAGTACTTGCCTAGCATGTGTGAGGCCCTGGGTTCCATCTCCACCACTACGAAAAATAATTAATAAAATAACACATCTGGGCTGGTGGAGTGACTCAAGTGTAGAGCATTTGCCTAGAAAGTGTGAGGCCCTGAGTTCAAACCCCAGTATCACCACCACCAAAAAAAAAATTCATCTTGTTCAATTGGACAAAATGCCCTCGGCATCTATTTGCAGGTGCTAGAAAAGGTCCTTGTGGAGGGTGGTCGTGTCTGCTGCTTGGTGCCTGAGACACCAGCGGAGCCCATTTGCTCATTCAGAGGCTTCTGGTGAAGCCCTTTCTAGAATCCAGGCAAGAAGTGAGGGCCAGGACTTATGAAGGTCCAGAGCAATAGCCTTCTGCCTTCAAGGACCCCCAGCAGCAGAGACAGGTGGTAAAGTGACTTCAAAGCAGAACGTTTTGGATTGGGCAGTTGGAGACAGCTGAGTGTCATGTACTTGGTGGAGGCTGAGCAGGCCTCAGCAGATCTGCTCAGTGCACTCCACAGCCTGCTTTTACAAATTTATCAAGTGTCTTGGCAGGGGCCACAGTGTCCTGATGCTTGTTGTAGCTCATTTCTAGTGTGTACAGAATCAGCATCTTACTCTAGAATCCTCCTTACAGGTTCCTCATAAAATGTGAGGTTGTAGTGAGTTGAGAAGTCCTTTTAATTTTGTTGAGCTCCAAATCATACTATCCATTTTTATCCGTCCCAAGAGTGAGAGGATTTGTCTATATTAGGAAGTAGCACGATGTAGAAGGAGCAAGCGTGGGACCAATCCCCTTCTCCATTCTAGTGTTGGCGATGTCTCTTCCTCAGAGGCACAAATCTGGGGAAGGAAGGGGGTGGAGAATGCAGGCCTGTGTGGAGGGAATCATCTCCGGTAACGATCAGGTCTTTCCAGATCCTGGGATGTTCTCTCACCGCTCCTAAAAGGGTTGTGCTAGAGCTGGGTTGCCCAGTGGGAGTTTCTGGAATGGTGGAAACACCCAGTGACTCCACATGACTGGCTGTCAGGCATTTGCAATGTGGCCATACAACTGAGGAACTGAATTTTTAATTTTACTTAAATGGTTTTTTTTGTTTGTTTGTTTGTTTTTTGGTGCTGGATATTGAATCATGTCAGTTTTAACAAAATACCTAAGAAAACAACTTATGGGAAGAAGGATTTATTTTGGCTCACAGTTTCAGAGGTTTCAGTCCATCCTAGTAGAGAAGGCCTGGTAGAACAGAGCAGCTCACATCATGGAAAGCACAGAGAGAAAGACAATGCCTGCCTCAGTGACTTTCTCCGTTTTTCCTCTTTTATTCCATGGAGGCCCCGGCCAGTGGGATGGTGCTACAGCCCACGATCAGGGCGGATCCTTCTCCTTGTTAATCCTCTCTGTGTGCTTCACTAATTCCTAGGTGCTTCTCAGTCCAGCCACAGATTGACTGTCAGTATTAACCATGACCAACCCAGGGCCTCAAGCCTGCTAGATAAGCACTGTTCCACTGGGCTATATCCCCAGACACCTCTCCCTTTTTTTGAGACACGGTCTTATTTTGTAGCCCAGGCTGACCTAGAACTCACTCACTATGTAGCACTTCTGCCTCAGCCTCCTGAGTGCTGGGATTATAGGTGTGCACCTTCATGCCCAGTTCCTAAATTTAACTTTAATTTAAATTCAAGAAAGCTTCTGTATTGAACAGCAAAGTTCTAGGCCAGGAAGCTAGGACCTACCAACATTTTGAGTGTTCTGAGTGTATATAAGCTTTAGAGACTGCAGGTCTCATAGGAGGCCTGATCTAACCCTAAAATAATGCTTCTGGGGAGCCCCTCAGCAGAGACCTTCAGACTGTTGTACCCTCCTTCCTCAGAAGCCCACAGGGGAATGGTTGGTTCATACTGCTCACTTTGCAGAGTGGCCCCAAAGTAGTTTTGGAGCACTGGATATTTGTGGGTTGTGCAAGGTTCGGGGTTCTCTGGAGCCAGAGCCAGCCAGAACCATGCCTGGAAGGCCAGGGCTTGATCGGCCCTCTGCAGGATGAGCACATCCACAATGGGGTCCATGTTCCAGGATGGCTGGCAACCTGGGTTTCAGAGTCCTAGCTCACAACAGTTTTCAGCTACATTTAGTTTTTCTACATCTGAATTTTCTGTTGGGAATGATTTACTAAGGGGAGAGAGTCATATCTAGTGACGCATTTGGGGACCTTGTATGCAAACAGGCTGAAGGCTGTTTGTTTATTTGAAAGGATTGGCAGCCAGGGGATGAAGGTTTGTTTGGGCATAGTACAAAAGGACCAGGACAGAGAGCCTGCTACCTTGGCTCCTGCTGCTTTGCCCCCACGAAGAGTTAACTGGTGACTTCAGTCCTGATCTTTGTACCTCTGCTCTTGAGCAACCTGATGCCCCTGCAGTGTGCTGAGGTCTGTGCTGTTGGCTGCTGGCTGGACTGACAGTGGGTGGGGTTTTTTCTAATAAGTAAAAGGGCAGGGCTTAAGCAGCCAATGACAGCAGAGGCCAGGCATATCTTGTTCAGTTTCCTGGGACTGGCGGCATTCCCCATTCTTGAGCTGCCAGCACTTGCTCCTGGTGACAGCTGAGTACCCGGTCCCACCAGCATGCTCTGCCTGTGCCTGTATGTGCCGCTCATCGGGGAGGCCCAGACTGAGTTCCAGTACTTTGAGTCCAAGGGGCTTCCTGCCGAGCTGAAGTCCATCTTCAAACTCAGTGTCTTCATCCCCTCCCAGGAATTCTCCACTTACCGCCAGTGGAAGCAGGTCTGTATGGGGTGTGGAGGCAGGAAGTGGTGTTTGTTGAGTGAACGGATGAATGTCGCCAGAGGGTAGCAGGCATGACCGCTGCCCTCCTAGAGAAAAGAATGTCTGAAATGTGGAAGTTTTCCCCAGCTGGCACAAGGCTGTAGCCAGCAAAAGATCTGTGTCATTTTCATGTGACCTCCTAGGAAGGCTGGAATTCTAGGAAGGCACTTGTGGGAGATGGAATCTCAGGAAGGAGTCCCTTTGGCTGAGTGGGGGCTTCCTGAGATGTGCAGAGCAGGGATGAGGCCTGGGGCAGTCCAGCAGTGACAGGCTGCTTTCTCTGAGCTGGGGGTCAGAGACCAAGAACACACAGGAGGGGAGAGGTGGAGAGTCTCCTCTTCGGAAGCCCAGGGCTGGAGCTGCAGTCCTCACCCTAAGTGTGGAAGGCAGGGTAGAGCAGCCCAAGAAGCAGAGCACAGCAAGGATCCTGACCCTTTAAAGTTGGGGAAACTGAGTTATAAGGTCTGGGGGTCACTTACCTCCTGCTCTTCTTTGTTCATCAGAGTTGCTGTCCCTCATTTCAGCTATGGCAATGTGGGAGAGGATTTGCTTTGCATATTCTAGGAAGGAGATAGAAAGAAGGCTCTGTGGGTTTGGTAGAAGCAAGGTGTTTGAGAATATTTTGGGGTTTTTGTTGTTTTTCTAAGACAGGGTTTCACTTTATAGTCCAGACTCACCTTGAATTCAGGAGGCCCCAGCCTCCTGAGTGCTGGGATTATAGGCATGCTCCTCCACATCCAGCTCTTTGGAATATTTTTAAATCAACTGCAGTGAGCACAATGGTGGGTTGTCTACCACAGGGCACCACCCCAGCAAAGTGCATGGGTCACCTTGGTGGCGGGCAGCCTGGGGACCAAAGAGCTCTGGGCATAATGTTTGCCTCCTCCCTAAATGGCAGGTAGGCTGTTTCCACTCCTGCTAGAAAGCTGAAGTGGTGGTCCTGTTTGCAGTTCCTTCACGCCTGGCTGAACGCACAGACGTTAGCAGGAAGGTAACAACCCCAGATAGCAGATATGACACGTGCCCACATCTGCCCTGGACACTGGGCTTAAAACCATGTTAGGTCCTGGTATCATCCAGACTCAGTCCCCGCCATCTGTGGTCAGGGTGTTGCCTGAGGGAGACAGACGGCCACCATTTGAGAACACGAGCTGAGCCGTAGCCCAGCAGCTTCTGAACCCCAGCTGGCCCAAGAGATTTTGAGTTAGCTTATTGATTGTGGATAGTGAATGGAGGTCTCGTTGAGTATTGGGACACGGTAGGTGGGGGTAGCCATTTTCCCTTGGAGATGCTTGGGTCTAGGTTCAGGGAGTTACTAAGGTAGAGTGACTCATGCTTGTTCCCCATGCTCCTAAGATTAGCCTTTAGGGTGGCAGCAGGACCAGTGGAAAGGTGGCTCAGGGTCAACAGGCCCAGCTTGACTCCCATGCACCACCGCCCTAGCTGTGTGACCTTATGCAAACACCTAAGGGAGGATGCTAAGCCTTAGCGCCTAGAGCTGTTCTCAAGGACTCGGTAGCGTTTAGCACGTCCGTGGCATGTGCTGTGTGCTCAGGAAATAGTCACTCTTATGGAGAAGTTCCAGTTGCCGAGTATCCAACGCTGGTTGACAGCTGCTGAGCACAGCTCGCCTCCGTGGGGGAGGTGCATAGTTCTGGAACCTCATGGACTAAGAACAGGGTCTCTTAAAATCTTAAACTAAAGTAGAGCTGCCCTGATTTTTAGTGCCTGGTTGGGAGACCTGGAGTTGGGTATATCATCTCAGTCTCTGAGATCAGGGACTGTCAGTGCCATCGAGCACATGCCCAAGAATAGTCACCCTTGGCTCCTATCCCTTCTGCAGCCTCCAGAGTGTTCCCTGGCATTATTTCTGCCAAGTAGGCATTGCCCCGTACCTTCACCCTGGCCACCAAACTGTTCCTGGCCAGTGCCTTTATAGGGAATGGAAGGAGCAAGTAAGTGGCAGTTTCTGAGGGAATCTGGATTCCAGGGCCGTCCCACCTCTCAGTGAGGAGCATAGGGCCAAGGCCTGGCACCAGGGACAGCCCTGCAGGATGCCAAGCAACTGACCCTGGCTGTGTAACAAGCTGGTCTTGGAAATGCTTAGAAGAAGCAAGTGCCAGGCTACCCTGCTGGCTGTCTGAAGGCTCCTCCTGGAGGCTCCTTCCTCTTGGATTTGTTAGGGAAAGAGGGTACACTGTGGCATGCTGCTAAATTGATGTGGCAGGGCCAGGGTATCCCTGGGAATTGAACAGAGGCTTTTTGGTCATTGGGGCACCTTTGTTTGTGGAATAACACAGTTTCCTGGGCAGTGGACCCCACCAGTGGCAAGAAAAGGCTGGTGCGTGAGCAAACAACAAATCCTTACTTTTGTTTTTTTAGAAAATTGTGCAAGCTGGCGACAAGGACCTCGATGGGCAGCTGGACTTTGAGGAATTTGTCCATTACCTTCAAGACCATGAGAAGAAACTGAGGCTGGTGTTTAAGAGTCTGGACAAAAAGAATGATGGTGAGTTTGGCTTGTAGTGCTGTGGCCTTGGGCCTTTCGCATGCTGGGCCCTGCTCACGGCCCTTGTTGTTGCAGGACGGATCGATGCACAAGAGATCATGCAGTCCCTGCGGGACCTGGGCGTTAAGATCTCGGAACAGCAGGCAGAAAAGATTCTCAAGAGGTGAGTGCCCAGCAACCTCCATGTTCAGGATGATGAAAGAAAGGCTCTTGAACTAACCCCTGCGCTGTTCACTGTCGACCTGTTTCCCTAAATTTGACCTTCTTGTGGTTGCAAAGAATGGATAAGTGGATAAGTAGCCCTGCCCCAAGGGCAGCCTTTCCCCAGGTTTACAGGCCATCTCCCATTTGAAGAATCACAAATCCTCTGGAATTATGCCCATTGCCTGTGACCCATTAACAGAAAAGACTAGTGGAGTGGCTCAAGTGCCTGCCTAGCAAGTGTGCCCCCCCTCCCCACCGCAAAAAAAAAAAAAAAAGACTAGTGAATGGATTTCTACTCAGCGAAAGTTACTCCTTGAACACTCTTTTCCTGGCTGGGAAGGGAGAAGGTCTCACACCTTTTTTCCCCCTGCTGATGACTTGCTGTATGTAGTTCATACTGTATGTATTCATACTGTATGTAGTTGGATGTGCTGTCCTGGAAGACAGCTCACTGGTGAGCAGGGGCTGCTGGGAAACTATACAGAACAACCCTAGGAGTTTCTTCTCTCCCAGATGGCCACAGATGACAGCTCTGTCACCACTCCCAGGCCATCACTGGAGGGCTCACCTTCGCGCTGTGCTGTTCCCCCAATGTCTTTGGGTGCGCTTGCTTCACTAATGTCTGCTCATGGCACTTATTTGTGTTGTTTCTCCTTTTTCCTCTGCATCCTCCTTTGTCTGTCTGTCAGAATACAAACAGGCCATTTCTGGGGCCCTGTCACCTAGTAAGTATCCGTGTCGCCCAGTGACTGCCTCCCTCCCTGACTTTATACCTGATGAGAGTGGGGTCTTGTGGGCCAGCATATCTTATGCAAAGTGGGTGTGGAGCTGCCTTGCCCTTTCGCATGGGCACACAGGTGCCTTTGCTTTGGTAGTTTCCTTCATGGCCGAGGCACCTGCTCTCAGCCCATCTCAGAGGTGGGACGTGCAGTTGGCAGATGGGACATGATTACACTTGGGTTACCTTGCCTTTGTCTCACAGCATGGACAAAAACGGCACCATGACCATTGACTGGAACGAGTGGAGGGACTACCACCTCCTGCATCCCGTGGAGAATATTCCGGAGATCATCCTGTACTGGAAGCATTCCACGGTGAGGCCACACTCCCACCTTCTACCCAAAGGCTCTCTTTACTTGGCAGCAGTAGTCTTGTGCCTATCCCGGGGTGGGGCACAGGCCCCAGCTGCCTCCTTCTTAGCAGCACAGCTGTCCCCTTCTCTGCAAGCCCAGTAGGGCCAGCCACATACCCCCTGCTTCCTGCGCACTGACCAGCCTAAACAGTTTTGACTATTACTTGAGCCTAAGGTGTCCTTTCCAAGGAGTGCCCTTCTGTCCCCACATGCTACCTGCCCTTTCCCTATGCCTCTTGTTCTCCAAAACCCTACAGTTCTTCCTCCAGGGGGGCAGAGGGAAGAAATGACTCTATTATATCCAACCACTTCGCTATTTTTTGGTGTAATTTCTCTCCGTAGTAAAAGTAACATGTCTCCACATACCGCCCTTTCACCCCATCAGTGTGGTTCCACATTCAGAAATTCAGGTCTGATTGACCTCCCTCCCCAAGTCCCCTCATGCTGGCCTGTCCCTCCTTTTGTTCCTGGCTGAGCTACCCCTGCTGCACAGTCTTATCCGCCCTGCATTGCAATGCCAGGCCAGGGCTTCCTCGGTGGAAGGAAATGGCCTGCTCCTGGGTTCAGAGCAGCTGGTGCCTGTCTCTGGCTTACAGCCCAGGTCAGAGCAGAACCTGCTGGACCCAGACCCAGAGAGAGGGTATTATACAGGCAGCAGTACTCTGTTTGCTAAAGCTTTGCATAATGTTCTGCCAGTACGATCCGGTTCCATACCAGGTTGCAGGTTTTGTACCCATGACTGGATCCTTTCAATCCAACCAGCCTGGCAATCTGCACTGAAAGTCCACTTGAGCTGGCTCTGAAAGGGCTGCCCTTTGGTTTTGTACCAGAGCTCTTAACCCTGCTCTCTACCTGAGCCACAAACAGGGCAGAGAGTATTGCCATCTTCACACAGTGAAGAGGAAGAGCCCCAGTGTACTTCCTACTCCCAAGTTCATGGTCTTGTCACCATTTGTGTGGTCCCCTGTAGCAGGACCACTTGAGAGGGCAGAAGGTGGTAGTTGTCAGCAACTTGCCAGCAGCTTGGCCACAGATGTCCTGAGTGAGGTTGGTTATGCCTCTGCTGGTCTTCCTCACAGATCTTTGATGTGGGTGAGAATCTGACAGTCCCTGATGAGTTCACCGTGGAGGAGAGGCAGACAGGGATGTGGTGGAGACACCTGGTGGCAGGAGGTGGGGCAGGGGCTGTTTCCAGAACCTGCACGGCCCCTCTGGACAGGCTCAAGGTGCTCATGCAGGTAAGCAGAAAAATGGGCCGGACTGGTTTTCACCTTGGGTTCCTGGTGGGTTGGCTTCCCCATCCCTTGCCTGGGCCCTGCTTTGGCCCAAACTTTTTAACCCAACGAATTAGGCTGGAATTATTGCTCTGACCAGGGTACCAATAGATCCAGGCCTACGTGACCTTTTTTGCATAGCTGATGTAATTTTATCTGAGGCACTTAAGCCAGGCATCATCTTACATTGGCTTCATGTGGACTGGTGAAGCCAGTGACACCTGGAGTATGGCAGGAAATGATTTCCTTACACACATGAAGAGGAAACGATTTCCTTACATACATGAAGAAGCGGGCATTTCCATGTTAACAGGGCAGAGATAAGCTCGTTTGATGTTAGGGGCAGCATTGTGAAATGGCCCACATGAGGACATGCTGGTGGACTTTGATGTGTATCTGAACAGTGACCAGTCACCCCGTTGTCCCCTTGCTTGTGTCTAGCACGTTTTGTGTCAGGAGTCCTGTTCAGAAATAGCACCATCCTTTCCCCTTCTGCTCTGCCCTCTAGAACCTCCATGCATTCGCTGGAAACAAGGAGGTGGATGGTTCAGGGAGAAGAGCTCCAGGCTTGGACTCACCCCACTGTTGTCCCAGCCCCCTCTTTCCCAGCTGTATGATCTTAGGCAGCCACTTCACCTTCCAGGACCCCCACAAGAATGAAGGGCTTGAACAATGGCCTCAGCAGCTTGTTTTGAAGGGAATTCTCAGCAGTGTTATAGGGGTGAGGAGCAGTCCTAAGTCATACAGCCTGGCAGCATCTGGGTGTGCTTTAATCAGGTCCATAGGTGTGGGAGCAGCAGGGTTGAAGACTGACCCCTGCAGTCTGTGATGAAGCTGAGGGTGGGCTCATGGAGCTCGCTGTTTAGTTCTACTTTTGTATATGTTTGAACATTTTCTATGGTGAAAAGCTCAGTTTTTTGTTTTTTTGTTTTTAATTTTAAGAAGTAGTCCTTGTAGAGGTCCCAGTTGGTGCACAGTAAAACCTACTTAAATCTAAATTAGAATTATCAAAGTTTGATTGTCACAATGCTGAGTTAGTTTTCAAATTACCCAGAGGGAACAGCCTTCCTGGTGGTCCTGAGGCTCCTCCCCAGGTGGGTGGTGGCAGCTCTCAGCCCCACTCAGTTGTGCTGACCTCTCGTTCTTCCTCTCAGGTCCATGCCTCCCGCAGCAACAACATGTGCATTGTGGGTGGATTCACACAGATGATTCGAGAGGGAGGGGCCAAGTCCCTCTGGCGGGGCAACGGCATCAATGTCCTCAAAATCGCCCCTGAGTCGGCCATCAAATTCATGGCGTATGAGCAGGTGAGGACCTGACTCCCAGGAAGAGTCAGTTGCCAGCTGGCAGCTTCTACTGGACTAAGGTCCCTGACATTGGAGCCAGCCCTTGTACCCAAGGGACAGCAGGGGAGGCAGGGGAGGCAAGAGGCCTGGGCTGACCTGGCTGTGCCACCAGTTCCATTTTGGCAGCATACAGTGACCACAGTCACCAGGTTTCATCCAAAACCAGCTGGCTCCTGGAGAAAGGGTAGCGGCAGGCAAGGGACTATGACCTCTGCATGCATAGCTTTGACCAGTTTGTTTGCTCCCTGCTGTAGATCAAGCGTCTTGTTGGGAGTGACCAGGAGACACTGAGGATTCATGAGAGACTTGTGGCAGGCTCCTTAGCTGGGGCCATCGCCCAGAGCAGCATCTATCCAATGGAGGTAAGAGGCCTCCTGGGTTCTGGGGTGGGCAGCATGCATGGAACAGGGAGGAGTGGGTTGTGCTCACACTCCCCACCACCCTCATTGCAGGTTCTGAAGACCCGGATGGCCCTGCGGAAGACAGGCCAGTACTCAGGCATGCTGGACTGTGCCAGGAGGATCCTGGCCAAAGAAGGGGTGTCCGCCTTCTACAAAGGCTACGTCCCCAACATGCTGGGGATCATCCCCTACGCCGGCATCGACCTGGCTGTCTATGAGGTAAGGCTCTAAGGGGTTCAGGCCCCAGGAACCAGTGAAAGATTCAGCCCCCACTCCTACCCCTGCCCTCCCCTGTTACCTGTCTCCCTGACAGAGATGGTTAGAACAAGAAGCAACACTCATCTTTTTGCTACAAGGGTCTCCTGTCATCCTGCCTGCCTCAGCAGCTCCAGCACAGAACCTATGAGCCCTACCCCAGGTTCTGAACCCAGGGGTCCAGCAGGCAGATCCCAGAGCACAGAGGCCCTTGGGGCTCACAGGCCTTACAAACTCCAGATCACAGAAGTCAGGCACTCTGCAGGAAAGGGTGCTCCCTCTGCTTCACCCCACTGTCTGTCCTTGTCAGGAATCCCTAATGACAGCAGAAACAAAGAGCAGGCTGGCCAGGGGCTCAGCAAGGCCCAGGTCAAGCTATTCAGGTTACAGTGAGTGTTGGATCCTATGTGATAGGACATGGCTCCAGCATGGATCCAGTAACCATCCCACCCCTGTGTCTCACTGCTACACCAGGCTTCCCAAGGCTTAGCCCTCCCCCCACCCACCTCTTCTCCCAGACACTCAAGAATGCCTGGCTGCAGCGCTATGCTGTGAACAGTGCAGACCCTGGTGTGTTTGTGCTCTTGGCCTGCGGTACCATCTCCAGCACCTGTGGCCAGCTGGCCAGCTATCCCCTGGCCCTGGTCAGGACCCGGATGCAGGCGCAAGGTAAGGCTGCTCCCAGGTGGGTCTCCATCTCCGGGCAGGTTGGGAGGGCTGATAGCATGTGTCTGACCAGTGGCTCTCTCCTGCAGCCTCCATCGAAGGAGCACCTGAGGTGACTATGAGCAGCCTCTTCAAACAAATCCTGCGGACTGAGGGGGCCTTTGGGCTGTACCGGGGGCTGGCCCCTAACTTCATGAAAGTGATCCCAGCTGTGAGCATCAGCTATGTGGTGTACGAGAACCTGAAGATCACCCTGGGCGTGCAGTCACGATGACGGGAGGGTGGGTGGACTCACTGATCCTGGGCTGTGGCCCAGGGTGTCAGTCATCTCATTCTGTGAATGTGCCAACACTAAGCTGACTCAAGCCAAGCTGTGAAACCTGGGACGCTGCAAGGGAGGGGTGGGGGAGAGCTGACAGGCCCCCCTGGGCTAGTCCATACTGACCTGGCAGACCCTTGTGTCTGTCCCGAGGAAGACCTGTGGGCATTCTTCAGGGGCCAGCGGTCAGCAGGACCCAGGCTCATGTGCCTGGGGACAGGACGTTCCCTGCAGTGCCTGCCAGATAGCAAGCGTGGAGGCTGGCTTAGTTTTCCCGTCCCGTCCTTGCAGCCACCCCTCAGCTGCACCCTTCCTCTGGCCTGCAGAGCGTTCCTGTGCCCAGTTTGCATCCTCCCCCTCTGATTTGCTGGAGGGGGAGGACCATCAGCCTGCCCGCATCCCTCCCCACCGGGGCTGGGGAGAGGCAGTTCCTCCTGCCCCCCGTGGACTGCTTCCTGGCTTCAGCATCCACATCAACCTGTGGTGCAAGAAGCCAAAGGGGGCTTGTTTATGTGCTCACCTCTCCTGAGCCATGTTGGCTTCTGAACTCACCAGTTGTGAGCACCTGGACATATGTGTTCACTTAGGGCGCTGGCTGCCTGGTGTCATTGGTGCATGGCTTTGTGAAAGGCTAGTGCTAGGGCCTGGAGCCCAGAGGGCCTTAGCTGCCTGTTTGGGCCTCATGGCCTCTGAGCTTTCCCCAGACTGCCAGGACTGGCGCCAGCTCATAACCAAACTCATCGTCCTGCTCTGTGGTGTGAGAGTGGGGCAGGTTGAATTTTAGGGTGAAGAGCAGGGTTGCTGCCCTGTGAGACAAGGAAAAGGTGCTGAAGGCCTTAATTATGTCTTGTTGAGAAAGGGGTTTTGTCCAGCAAGATGAGCTGGACAAATGTGAGTTGTGTGCCTCCAGAGAGAAGACAAGGGAGTAGGTAGAATGGCTGACTACTGAAGTCTGTTTCTGATGCCCCTGGGGATTTACGTCCAGTCCCAAACAGGGCAAATTGGGACCAATCTCACATTCCACAGATGCGACATATCACACTGCTTGGAGCCTATTTATTTTGTATTTATTTGAACAGAGTTATGTCTTAACTATTTTTATAGATTTGTTTAACAAATAGCCTGTCATTTTCAAGTTCATTTTTATTCATATTTATGTTCATGATTGATTATGCCTCTCCATCACCACCTGGTGAGGGTGGGGAGAAGAGAAGGAGAAGGGGCCGCAGAGTGGCCTTCCCCACTGCCCACCCGACATCATGTCTGTCCAAAGAAATTCCTCTCGGGACTAGAGACAGAAGAGAAGGGACCCTGGCCATTTGTCTATGGAGTGCATGTCCCCTGGCATTGAAGGCAGGACTTGCCCCCAGGGAGCTTGGGGTCTCAGGGTGTGATAGGGTGGGGCCAGTGGGAGAAACCTCAACGGCATGGAAAATGCAAGTTCAAATCCTTCCATGGACTGGAAGGTTTTCTTTAGTTCACCTTTCCTGAGTGACAAGGCAGTGAGGTGCCTCTCACTGTGAACTTGTAGTACAGGGAGAGGGTGCTGAAGGACAGAGTGGCTGGATGCCCACCCCAATCTGTGAAGTGGACTTCCTCCCAGCCCTTAGCTGCCCTCGCTCAATAATGCTGGTAAGCTGGCCATGGGACACTTGTACCTCCATTTCCCCAGAATGGCCTGATGAGGACAATTTAAATAGGATGCAAAGATCAATGCAAAAATTATTATATATAAATATATTAGCTATAACTGGAATTTATCAAAAAGCAAATTAAGAAAGAATTGGAAGTTGTCATTTCAAACAGCCTCTAATAAAGTTGTTTCAAAGGTGATGACGGAACAGGAGTTTTCTGACTTGGGCTTGGGTGGTTTAGGGGCATTTTTCTTACTTAATGCCTAGACAGCTTCCCTCTCAGTTTCAGGGGAGCACTGCCTCCTCAGTGGAGGCTCATTAGAGTTGGGGTATTCTGATGAGGTCACCAGTGCCCCCAAGTTGCCCTGTCCTGATCTGGCCCACATCAGATGGGTCACTCTCTTGTGCTGGAAGCACCACCTTCATTCATTGACCCCAAGCACCACTGGGCTTCTCTCTCCTTGCCCTCCTAGGGTTCCTGCCCCTCTTACGGATGCTCAGGGGCCCAGGGGAGCCTCAGACCTCTCTACCCACACTGTCATCCCATCTTGCCAGTGAAGACTAAGTAGCCATGTTCAGAGGACCCTGATTTTGTTCTTGAGCTAACTCCAGATTCACGCATCTTCACGCATCGTACTACAAACCCTCCCTCTGCATTTGAGCAGCTGGCAGGCATCTCACATATCACATACTAAGGCCAAACTCCTAGCTTTCCTCCCAGATCTGCTTCTCCACCTGGTCACCTTCACAAATGGATTTCTTTCAGTGATGAGCCTGAGCCTCCGGAGTCATCCTTGACTCCCACTTCTAGTCTAGTCCATCAGCAAGTCCTGTCAGCTCTGCCTTCAAATATATCTGGGGTCCAACCACTTATGACAGTCCTCTGCTGCCTGGCTCCTGAGCTCATCCCTTGCTTCCCTCCACTCACCATGCTAAGCCTGAGTGACTTCAGGTACCAAGAATTTCATTGTGAATTTTCCTGAATTAAAAAGGAGTAAAAAAGCATACAGTGTCTCCCTTCTCACCCTGACACCGAAAGTCCCTCTCTGGACCACAGCCCCATGTGAATTGCCTCCTTGCTGAAGTGCTGGGTCTTACTGGGAGTTGTGGGGCCTCTGAGTTGGGGAGGAGACACCTTCCTAGAATAAACTACAGCCAGAGAGAAAGGCTGTGTGTCCCCCAAAGCTCCCAGGTGTTGGGGGATTGCCTTTCTCATTAAATCAATATTTACTTTCACAGCTGGCTTTGTGCTCATTAAAAAACAAACAAAAAAATGTTACAAGCTTTAAGCCTCACAAAGTCGCAGGGGCCTTTTGGGGCCCTCCCCTGCTCCCCCTCCAGCCCTACAGGCTGCCCAAGGCCCCAGCACATACCTGCCTGACCTTTGCTCCTTCCCTGCCTGTAAACTCTTATCCCCAGCTAACCCCTTCTCTCTTCCTTGCTTTGTTCTGTGGACCAGGAGTTTCTTGGGTTTTTTTTTTTTTCTTTGAGATGGGATTTCCCTGTGTTGCCCAGGCTAGCCTCAAATTAAGGCTCAAGCCCCTCAAGCCTCCCCAGCACTGGGACTGCAGGTCCCTGGCTTTTTTTCCTGACATTCTTTATTTGCTTTCTGCCTGTCTCTGGAGAGGGGAGGCCCTGGGGAAGGGAATGTGTTTGTAGTTGTCTCTCCAGACACTCCTTGTGCACAAAGTGCCTGATCTTACTCCAGTTCCCTGATGGCCCTAGGACCAGGGATCAGGCACAGCTACTGGGAGATGTAAAGCAGCTCCAGGAAGTGGCCTGGGGACTCTGGCATGCAGGGGTTGGCTGTAGGGGAGGCATGAAATGTGCCCACATGTGGAACTGACATATACCACGTGTACTGTGCTGAACAGTGTTGCCCTTAAATTTCTGTCCACCCAGAACCTCAGAATGTAGCCTTATATGGAAATAGGAGCTTGGCAGATGTAAGCAAGTTAGGATGACGATGTTCCTGGGGACTTGTCTTTTAGAATGGAAGTGTGTGCAGAATACATAGAGGCTCTAATGAGACTTCAGCTCACGGGCAGGAGTCTCACTGACAGACCAGGGATGGACCTTACATGTTTGCTGGGCAGGGTCCTCATCTGGCCTGACAGACTTTGGTGCACAGGAACACAAGGGCAGGATAGAGGCTGAAGGGGCCCAGGAGTTCACCTGCCCTCGGTCTTTAACTGTCTCAGGTCATACTGGATTAGGAGGGGCCCCAAATCTCGTGACTGGTGTCACTGAGCGCCAGTGGCTCATGTCTATAATTCTAGCTACTCAGGAGGATCACGGTTCAAATCCAGCCCTGGGCAAATGAGACCCTATCTGAAGAAAAACCCATCACAAAAAAGGACTGGCAGAAAAACTCAAGTGGTAAGAGTGCCTGCCTAGCAGGTGTGAGGCCCTGAGTTCAAACCCTAGTGCTGCCAAAAAAAAAAAAAGACTCAGGAGGCAGAGGAAGGAAGATTGAAGGTTCAAGGCCAGGTGGCTGGAAGCATGGCTCCTGTGGTAGAGTAGATCCTGTGATCAAACCCTACTACTGCCAAAAAAAAAAAAAGAAACTTCAAGGCCAACCTAGGCTACATAGAGACCCTCTCTCAAAAAAAAATAATGGAAAATGGGGCATAGACCTGCACAAAGGAGAGACGCAATCCCACATAATGATGGAGGCAGAGGTGCCTGGGATATTGCTGCCACCCCCCGCCCCCCAGTCCCCAGAAGTCAGGAGAGAAAAGGCCACTCTGTCTGCTCCTCCAATTGCTCAATGGTGAGTGAATTTGGTGAGTACCTACCCAAATGTGTGGGTACTGGATGGCAGCCCCTGGACACTCATGCCACATTTCAGGTGCTGTGACCAGGGGTAATGATTATATCATTTCTCAGCCACTGAGTTGGCAGACTGGTCCCTGCCCCCACCCCTGCTCTCCCACCCTGTCCAGACCTCGGCCTCAGTTCCACCCAGTGGAAGGGGTGGCTTCTCAGGCACAGAAGCCAACCTTGGGCTGGGGGAAAGGGGGCGGAATTTGAGGTAGGTGCAGCGCGAAGCTCACCAGGCCCATCTCCCTCCAGTGATCCCCTTGGTTCTCCTCCCGTCAAGATGTGTCACTGCAGGCCTTCACTGCTTATCCTACCTAGAATTTAACTGTTCCCCACCCAAGCTGGCCTCCTCTCTCTTGCCCTGTCCCCCAGCACTTCTCCCTTCAGCACACTGCTTATCTTCATTCCTGGGGTCGTGGTTCTTTCCTCCGAGGGCAGAGTTTTGTTCTCTGTTGCCTTGCCACAGCGCTGAGGAGGGGTGGGGGAGGGGCGTGTCTGGTTCATTCATAGAAAGGGTGAATGTTAAACAGAAGTAGAATCCAAGGCCCTGTTCTGCTGTCCATGGTGGCTGGCCTCTGGGCTGCCCTCAATCCAGATCTCACTAGTGCAAGCTGGTTGAAATGTAGGGGAAGGGTGGCAGAGGAGGAGCCTGAGTACTGGGCCCAGCTACCCAGGGTGGACCTTGGTCCCAGTTCCCAGGAACTGACCAGCCCAGCATGGCAGGTCCTGGTGGCAGGAGAGGCCAGGCAGGGCTGGGCGGAAGTCTTACTCTGAGCAAGAGTAAGCTGAGGCCAGAAAGGGTCAGAGGCCTGCCCCAGTTCCACAGGGGCCAAATCAACCTTGGCCTCCTGCACTTTGCCTCCCAGAATGCAGGGCAGACCAGGAGAGCAGCACCAGGAAATGAGCTTTCTTGTCCATCATCACCAGTGATCACAGCCCACAACACTTGTTGGGGCTAATGGGAGAGAGGGAGGTGGTTCCCCCCACATCCCTCATGTGGGGCCCCATCCTCATTTTACAAATGAGAAGAAAGACCAGAGACCTTGGACTTGCCTGGCCACCAAGCCCCCTGTAGCCATTTCTTTTTCCGGACTACCCTCGCTGGTAGTGTTTGTATTCGGGTCCAAGGGCTCTCCAAATGATCACAAAGTCAGTGTCTCAGAACACACAGTAGCCTCTTTCAGTTCTGGAAGTCAGAAGGTCAAGCTCAGTTCCACTGGGTGGAAATTAGGTATCAGCAAGCCTGGCTCCTTCAGCAGGCTCTCAGGAGAATCCTCCAGCTGCTAGAAGTTTGTGCATTCCTTGGCTTGTAACCCTTCCTGGCTCCTCCAGCTGCTGTGCTTCCACAGGGTGGCCTCCTCTCTTACGTTATCACCTCCCTCTGCCTTCTTCTTAGAAAGGCACTTGTGATTACATCATTGTAAGGGGCCACCTGGCTAATTTCCCCATCTCAAGATCATTCATTGAATCACATCTACAAACTCCTCTTGCTATGTGAAGTATAACACGCACAGGTTCCAGAGGTTAGGACCTGAATATGAGAGGTCACTAGTCTGCCCACATAGACCCTTTCCCATCAGACACTTCTGCCCATCAAAATCCTTCCCATCGTACTGGCTAAATAAAGCAGGGAACAGTCACGGAGTGGAACGTGCCACACTGTGGAAAACCACATGATTGGAACTGGCGAGGGACAGCAGTTCTGATCTGGAATGTCCATACAATAAACGCCTGATATTTGCATATTCAAAATGAAATTTAAAAAAAATTAGCAAAACAAGCAAACCACAATCCTCCCTGTGGGCTCCCCTTCCCAGGGAGGGGGATCTTGCTGTTCTCAGGACTCTGTTCTTCCTGGTGCTCTTGACCCTGAGCGCTGGAGCCAGCAGGGAGCACGGCAGGAAGTGTTCTGAGAATGAGGACAGGCCTCACTGGCTGCATGTCACCCACCCCTATGCTGTCAGCTCTATGTATCACCTAACACCTCACCAACCCCACGGGGCTTACTGAGGCCAGTTCACAGGACGGATGGGGTCATACCCAAGGTCCCAAACCCAAGCCCCTGCCTCCATCAAGACCTCAGGGATGTGTTTTGACCTGAAGATGAAAAAGATGGGACAAAGATTCCTGGCTTGGGGCCCTTTCCCCTGGGAGACGTGGTTTCTCCTACTCACTCATCTTCAAGCCCTGAAGGAGTAAACCCATTTTACAGATGAACAAATGGAGTGCCTGGACAATGAAGGCTTCCAGAGAGTTGATCCTGGAATAGGCAGGTGGCAGTCCCAGGACCTATTTCCGGGTCCTACAGGGCCTCACAGACTCTGGCGCCCTCTGGTGGTTGTGGGGAAAAGCGATGAGAAGACTAGCAGCACTAGGGAAAGACTGTCACAGGGTGATTAGGCACTAGGGAAGCAGCTGGGCCCAAGAAGTGACCAGCCGTTATCTAGCCAGTCACCGGGACTGGGTCTGGCTAGTACAATCCTTGGACATCGTTTCTGTACAGTCCTTGAACTTTTTGTCAAGGTGACCACACAGTGGAGGAGGGTATGGGCCTCTTCCTACCCACAGCAGCTCTGGGGGAAGAAGCCCTCAGGAGTCACGCCCCAATTCCAACCACCATGACTCTGGCAACTCTTCCAGCCCTACTACCTTCTGAGAAATGGAAAAACAAGAAAACACGATGTCCAAGAATGTGAAGACTGAGAGAGGGGAGATGTCTGGCAGCCACGGCCCGGTCCGCACACTGGGCTTCCAAAGTAAGATGGCCTCAAGGGGAGGCCCAGGTAGAAACCCCAATCATCGGGCTGCATAGGAGCAGCAGCAAGAGTAGGGAGCACAGCTGTGGGCCGTGGGACCTTCCCCTAGCCTTGGTGGCATGGACAGAAGGCGGATACCTTCTTCATAAGCTAGGTACATCTGATACTCCCTTTGGGAATAAAGGACTGAGACAGGGAGGCAACTCAGCCTCCTTGTGCTAGAGAGGCACCAAGGATCAACCCCGGGCGAGGTCTGAGAATGGCAGGAAAAGCTGTCCGTGAAGGGAAAGTGGAGGTGGGACACGGGGATACCAGGATGGAGGGCTGCAGGGATACAGGGATGGAAGGATGGAGAGATGGAGGATGGAGGACTGCAGGGATAGTGAGAGGCAGAGATGGAGTACCACAGGGACGGAGGGCTACAGGGCCACAAGGATACAGGGAAGGTGAGAGGCAGAGATGGAGGGAAGGCCCTGCCTGGTCGCCCATGGCATGACTGTCCTAGTTGTCCTGCCAAGGGAGCTCTGGGGTCCACCAGAACTCTGGCTCAAAGTCACTTCAATGTGCAGCCTGGCCACAGCTCTGGCTCTGGTCCCACCCCACCCTCCCCAGGATGTCTGTGGCTTAGCTCAGTTTCAGGCCCAGCTTCTCTCCTTCTCCACCCCCACAGTCCCCAGAGGGCACAGGTGTGGGGTGGGGCTGGGTGAGTGGGCTGTGGTGCACCCCGTGCCCTGCAAGGAGCTAGCGTGACACATACAGAAAGGAGAAAGGCCCAGCTTGGGAGTTAGAATCTGGCAGGTGGCAGATGATCCCTGCAGGAGACTGAGGTCACAGTTCTTCCACATACCTGACTGACACCCACCCCCCTTATGTGAGCTTTAGTTATTATGAGTAACATGAATTGCTTTTTAAATAATCCTACGGTAAAATTTAAAACTACCTCAACAGTCTTGTGGGTTAGCCAGTTACCCTCTAATTAACAGGACCCAACGGACAGAAATTGCTGGCCACCTGCCTGGCCTCTGGAGGGCCCCTCGCAGAGCACCACACCTCTCAATGAGTGCTCTGCTCAGGAGGGGGTCCACCACAGCCCACCCTTGCTCTGGAAGGTACAGAACTGGCTTCTCCCTCTAGACCTCACCCTAGTCTGCAGCTGGTGGCTACCTGTTGCCAGAGGGACTATCGTGTAACCCTGTCCCTGAAGTATGACCCCTCATCTGTAGAACAGCGGTTTGGACCCCAAGTCCCTGGCCCAGGGCCCTGTTCTGAACTGGGCATCCTGTGCATTTGACTTGCAGCTTGTTACCAACACCCCCCCACCCTCAACACAACTTTTACTATGACCCTTTAACAGATGAGGAAACTGAGGCTCAGAGGAAAGCATATCTGCCCAGAGTTCCAGGGACAGAACCAGACCTGTCCCCAGGGCTCTCTAGCTCCCACACCCTGTGCCTCACTCAGGTAATGCTGCTCAGCCTTTGCCCCACCTGACACTCAGTGAGCACTGCTCACAGGGCAGTTGCTCCAGGGCTGCCCTGGCACTCACCACACAGACCTCCAGAACAGCACCCACAGATAGGGGAGCAAACCTTTCCTTTATTGCAAATATGACAAAGTTCCAGGGGAACCTGGGAAGAAAGAGTTGGAGCAGACCTCCCTAATGCAGACTGTCCCATTGTTTTCAACCAGGCAGGAGCCAATCTCATTCCCATCTACAAGCTGCAGCCAAGGCAGCCACTTTTTTTCTGGTGGTACTGGGATTTGAACTCAGGGACTCATAATTGCTAGGCTAGTGCTCTACTAATTGAGCTATGTCCCCAGCAGAGGGCAGGCTCTGAGTCCAGCAGAGGGCCAAAGAGCAGGGAGGCCCTGAATAGGGGTTGGCCCACTGGAGCTGGGGGGTGGGGGAGGGGGGGTGGGGGAGGGGAGGTGGTTCCTCTGTAACCCGTGACCAGGTTCCCATCAGCATGGCTGTGAGCTGTAAGTAAACCTGGGATTTGTCCTCGGCATCCAGGGCACTACAGGTGCCCAGTGTCAAAAGCAGAGGGCCTTGGGGCTTGGGTGGAAAAAGAGGCAGAATGACCCTGCACCCCTCACACACACACACAGTGGCACCAGGGGCTGGCTCGCTGGCCCGGTCCCCAGCAGCTGGCCTCTGATGTGGCCTTCCTCTCTGCCAGGTGGGGGTGCTCAGTGCCCTGGGAGGGCCTTGGCAATGGCCTTTTCCACCCGCAGGTACCAGGGCTGGATGCGAGTATGCCTCATCAGGTCGTCAAAGGCCTCCAGGCCTTCCATCACACGCAGCACCCCGTAGACCGCCTGGGGGAGACAGCATGGAAGTGTCACTGTGGCTGACACTGGGCCTGTCGCCTCCCCTCTCTGAGAACTCACACCCACTGGTGGGCCAATTTTGCATGATGGCTACAGGATTCCCTGGTCTTGTCCCCACGTCATGCTCCTCTGCCCCCCATGTCCTGCCCTTTCTTCTTTCTTTTTTTGGTGGTCCTGGGGTTTGAGCTCAGGGCCTCGAGTTTGCTAGGCAGATGGTTTATCACTGTAGCCACACCCCCACCCTTTTCGCTTTTACTTGTTTTTCAGTAAGGTCTCATGTTTTTTGCTTGAGGTGGGCCTCAGATCACAATCCTCCCACTTACAGCTGCCCTTGTAGCTGGGATCACAGCCATGTACCTCCGTGCCTGGCTTATTGGTCTCGATGGGGGTCTCACTGGCCTTGACTCACGACCCTGACCTCCTCCCCCAGTGCTGGCATTACAGGTGTAAGCTACTGCACGTGGCCCTTCTCGCCCCGTTTCTACTCAACAAGCCTACCCCAAGTGTCCTTCGGGAGGATCCCAGCACCTGTTCCCAGACCCAGGCTACCAGGCTGGCGGACTGCTCAAGGACGGGCACTGAAATCAAACCAATGAAATCCTGCTGGGTAGAAGTCTGGAGACAGGACCCAAGCCTGTCTGTGGCTGAAGCCAGGAAACCACTGCTGAGATGGTGACAGGGAGCACCTGGGCCCTGCTGCTGCTACTCTAGCCTTGGATCCAGCCAGGCCTGAAGCCAAACCCCTTCCTGAATTTGTCAGTTATGTGAACCATGGAGGTTCCTTATAGTTGGCTCCCCTGCACCAACAACAGACACAAGTGGCTCCTCTGCCACAGGCTGTTATAGCCTGGGCTTTCCCTCCCACGTTCACCCCAAAGGCAGGCCCCTCTATCTGACACTGCCTACCATCACCACACTCACCAAGTCAGCAAGGTTTGGCTTCTGGCCCCCCATGAAGGGCCGGTCTTTGCCCACTGCTGCCACCCACTTGTTGGCAGCCTCATAGAGGTCCTCACGCACATCATCATGGAGGTGGTGCCTGGACAGGGAAGGAGGGGGAGGTCCGTCAGGGAGCCCCTCCCCAGCCAGATGGGAAAGGGGGCCTTCTTTGGGGACAAAAGGAAGGCTAGATGAGCAGGGGGGTCTCCAGGGGAGCTGTTGCTGAGCATCTGCCCCAGTCAGGGAGCCCGCAGTGGCTCAGGAGAGGCAAGGGACCCAGCCAAGGAGGCAGTGGCAGAGGGAGGCACAGGCAGTCGACCTGGCTTCCAACTCCAAAGTGGGGGAGACATCAGGAGTTGTGGGCAGGGTCCTGGCTTGCCTCAGTCTCCCACCTACCTCCTGAGGGTTGATGGGACACAGATGTAATGCCAGGGCTTGTGGACAGCAGGGTCCAGACCCACACACACGCACCCACCATCACCTGCTCTTGAGGCGCTTGCTGATGAGGTACATGGCAGCTGCACCCACATACTTGGCCACGGGGCCTTCCACGGCCCCGAACTTGCCCTCACGGACAATGTAGTCGAAGGATGCCAGGGCCTCGGCGGGCGTGCGGTACACGTTGGGGGAGATGAGGTGCACCAGCCAGTCGTCTGCCCACTGCCGCCACTTCATCTCCTCTCTGGGGACACAGGAAGGACAGAAGGAGGGCTGTCTTAAGCCAGCGTCTAGGGTGGGTTGGGAGTGGGACTGGTCACTTTACTGTCACCACCTGGCCAGCCCTCATGGTCTCCCATACCACTCTCCCCACAGCAGCCCCAGCCCCACTCACGTCCTTGCCTCTTTTCCACCATACATCTGCTGGGCCTCCTTCTCGTCTAGCATGAGCCAGTACTTATTGCAGAACTCAGTCACCTCCTTGCCCTGGTCATTCATGGCCTTCATGGGAGGGTACCAGGTGATGATCTCTTCCAGGGGCTGCCTTCAGGGGAGAGCCAGAGTCTCACCCTAACTTCTTCCTCCTGTCCCCTTTGGCTGACCAACACAGCCTGACCCAGCAACTCAGCCCCTGGCTGGAACCAGAACCTACCCAGGAAGGCTCTACACCCTCTTGCAGCAAGAGGGATTTGGGTGAGACTCAGGAGCACCTCCCTGACAGAGGGGGATGGAGGAGCTGAGGATGGAGGTCTCCGGGTAGGATGCTCTTGGCCCATTCTAGAAATCTTATCAGCAGCCCACCCTGCTCTCATACAAGCAGGAGCTTGGGGAAGCCTTCCTGGAGCGAGAAGGAACTACCTCATGCCCACCTGCTCTCCCAGGGGCTCCTTACCCTGACACCAGGTAGGTCTTGAGGGCACTGATGATGACGGAGGAATCATTCAGTTGTTGCTAGGAGAGAAAAGGCAACCTTTTTACTTTTTTTTTTTTTTTTTACGGTGCTGGTGATGGAACCCAGGGACTTGCACATGCCAAGCCCCACCCCAGGCTAAAAGGCAGGTTTTGGATGAGAGGTTCTGGCCTGTGGTTGGCATGATCACCACGGGCTCCTAAGCTACACCAACCACAAAGCACTGTGAGGTAACTAATCACATAGAACCTGGGCATTTTTTTATCCATCACCCCCCAAATCCATGACCACTGAGCTCGCCCCCCAGCCCTCAGGCCCTCATTCTTAATTTAAGTGACCAAGTGTGGCTAATGCGGAGGCAGGAGTAGGGGAGCCCCAATGTCTGGCCCTAGCCCAGACCCACCTAGCTTCCCACAACACAGAGGGCAGGGTAGGCTCCAGAAACTGTGTACTAGGTAACAAACCCTGTACACGTAAAAATTTCATATTTATGTCCCTACAGCCCAGAGTCTGGTCCCCTGTTGACTAATCAAGAAGCCAGCCCAGGCAGGCTAAGTGGCTTCCCCCATGACACAGCTAGTGAAAGGCAGAACCACAATTCAAACCCAGTCCACCTTGAGTGCTAGGCACTCCCTGAGATTTGGCTGGTAGTGGCTGTTGGCAGGGAAGGAAATGTGTCTACATCTACTCTTTGGTTTTTGTTTGAGACAGGATCTTACTACACTATATTGCCCAGGCTGGTCTTGGACTCTTGGATACAAGCAATCCTCTTGCCTCAGCCTCCAGACTAGCTGGGACTACAGGTGCACACCACCAGGTGTGACTTACCGCTTCCCCTGAACACCAACTGCTTTCCCCTCATAACCACCTGCAGGGACCTGGGAGTCACAAGTTCTTTCAGGGGGGATCCCTGAGGCTCACCGATCTGTCTCCTTCCTGGGCCACCAGGATGGGCACCTTCCTGTAGGAGGAGAACTTGATCTCACTCCTGAACACGGGGTTCACTTCCACCACCTGGTAGGGCAGGGCATGGAAGTCGAGGAAGGCACGGACTTTGCTGCAGAAGGGACATGTCTTGTACTGGTACAGGGTCAGCTGCATGTGGCTAGACAGGGACAGCTGGAAGGGCAGAAGGAAGGGGCTTCTGAGGCCTGGTGTTCCAGGCCCAGGCACCCCCAAGCAAACATTTCCTCAGGAAGCCTTTTCAGGTGACCTTGATAGTATGAGGAAGAATGGGGTGGGTGTCAGGGAGAATGGAGTGCTGGGAGGTAGGGAAGGGGCCCAGAAAGTGGACAGTGCGGGTGTAAACTCCCAGTTAGCACACCCCAGGGCAGGGGCCAGGCTCCTCTCCCTCCTGCCCTATGGGACACAGGACAATCCTAGGATGTCTCCCTCCAGCTGCTGTGACTCCCCTTCACCTGCTCACCCCTACTCTTCCAACCTAGGGACCTCTTGGTGAGGAAGCAGAGCTGCCCTGCCACTCAGGCAGCACTGGCCAGAGTGGGGGCTACCTCTCCAAGGGGGAGACTACAGTGGCCATGGGCCTGGATCTGGCTCTTCTACAGAAAAGCGCCCAAGTGCACTTGAGGCAAATTGATGTTGAAAACCACAGCTGTAGCCCACCTCCCTCAAGGTGCGCATGGGAAACTGAGGCCGGATGTCCCTGGTGGACAGGGAGCCACAGGTACTTCACTGCCATTTCTTCCACCTCTGGGTCCAGGAAAGGGGCATCAGTGGGGAAGGAAATGGAGGGAGGGGGCTCAGTGGAGAAGAGCAGTGATAGTGCAGTGCATAAGCTTTCAAGGGCAGCTGGGCCACCACGAGTTGATAGTGCTGCTGCTGCTGTGCACAACCTTAAAACTTGTTAGAAAAACGACGGCGTGAGAAATGCACCCAACAATTCTAGATAGCGAACATCAGTAGCGCCTCCATTTTACAGGTGAAAACGCTGCGGGTGACACCTAAGGCTAAGTCACTAGCCCAAGGTCACGAGCAGGCAAGGAGGCAGCGACACCTGACCCCGCGGCTTCCAAGGAGTCCCGAGTTGGGCGCTGGTTGCAGACATCCCCCATCCACGGCCCGGCCAGACCTTACCTGCGCCGCTGAGTGATGGGCGCGGAGGTGCTGGGCGCGCAGGTGCCACCGCGCGGTGTGGTACAGCCCCAGCGCGCCCCCCAAGGCCAGCACCGCCACCCTCAGAAGTCGCGGGCTTCCCTTGCGGACGGCGGCTGCGGGACCCTGGCCGCCCGCCGCCCCCGCGAAGCCGGCCCGGCTCTGCGCGAGGAGCTGTGGCCAGGGTCGCCCACCCAGCCTCTCCACCAGGGAGCAACGGCCTGGCCACAGCGCCCGCGCTACCCGCGCCGCCCGCGCCGCCTGGGCCATGTTCGCTCCATCGGCTCTGCGGGCGGGCGCGTGAAACCAAGACGGCCGAGGTTCCTGCGCTCCTTAAAGGGCCGGGATGCGGTGCCCTGCGGGTTGCCTGGGGTGACGACGGTGACGCCGAGTGGGGACCAGAGGCTCTGTCGGGACTGGGCTTGCGCACCCGTCAGAGCCGCAGAAGCACACCCGGGGGTGTTTGGAAACGGCTTTAGAGGGTGCATCTGTAGCCGGTCTGCAGTGTCCGGCGATATGTGGTTAGTCGTTTCTACATCGTGCACCCATTCTGAAAATATAAAACCTCCTGTCAGGAAAAGGGCCAAGATTCCGGTCAATGCACGCTGCGGAAGAGGTCCAACCGCCGCCCCCCAACCCCTCCAGTGGGGATGGACACGACACATCAGGTTTTTCTGCCCTCCCGCACCTCTGTTACGCTTCTACTGTGACCTGAACCATAAACTTCCCAAGCTAAACGGGGGCCTTGGAAACCACGTGTCTCTGATGTAGCCCACGCGGAGCTGTTCAGTCCACCGAGGCCTCCAGGTGCCAAATGGGGCACAGTCAGTCCGGGGTCCCGGGCTGCCCCGTCCTTCTACCGGGCTCTCTCATCATAGCTGAGTGCGCAAGCCTCCGGCGTTTGGGCTTCTGAGCGGGCAGCCCCGGCGTGGCCACGCCCCGGGCCCGGGACAGGGGCGGGGCTGGCGGAGTAGGCGGAGATCTGAAGGCGGGGGCGGAGTTGTGGAGATCTGGGGGCGGGGCGGGCGTTTCGGTTCACCCGCCCCATCTGAGTCCACTGCCTCCGCGGTCCTGCCGGGCGCGGAAGGCGAAGGCGACAGCCTCGGAGAAGCAGGGGACTCAGAGGAACTGCTGGAGCCACCTTTGTTTTCTAGGCATATCCTCCTGAGAAGGGGAGTCGGGGCCGGAATAAAAACTTCCAAGGGACCGAAAGGCCCTTCTCAACCCATCCCTGCGTGGGTTCCGAGAGGTCGAGCACAGGCGAACAACTCCTTGGAAACCTCAGCATTGGGGTAGTGTGGGTAACAGCCCCGTTTTATAAAAGGGGAAACTGAGGCAGCTTTAGGGATGTGCCTCCGTTTGGGATTTACTCCAACCACTTCAGACCCTAGGGAGCTCGAGGCACCTGAAGAGGACTGGAGGAGAGCTTGGCTGGCTTAGTTTGGCAGGAGGGACTGACAGGCGCCCCGCGCACATCCCCACACCCCCACACTCCCAATCCACGCGCCTCTCTGCTGAATTACCATCCCAGACACCTGGCTTTGCTGGTGTGACCCGTTTGCAAAGCAGCCTGTTACATGCATGACACTGCCGGATGCCTGAAAAACCATCGACCACCGGCTCCCCTTTCACCTTCCTGAACCTCGGTTTTCCTATCTGTAATATTAGGATTAATGATTGGTATCTCCTGCACTGGAATATATTAGAATGAAACAAGAAAAGGAATGGGGAGAGTCTGAAAAGCTAGTGAAGCTGATGCCTGTGAGACCCCTACTTTTTACCCATCTGGCAGCTGCTCCCGCCTAGCTTAGGATGACTCATCCTTTGCTAAATCTAGGAAGGGAACAAAATGACCAGCCCCTCTGCCAAAATTCTTGGCACAGTCCTTCTTTATCCTCCTGGCCAACAGGGCTCATGCCTGGCAGTCCAGCGCTTATTCCACCTCATTGCACTTGATCTCTGTGCTGCATCTTCCTTAATTCACTCTAACCAGAGACCTTCAAGCTGTGGCCAGCACAGGGCACAGTCCTGCTTAATGGCCGGGTAATCTTGGTGCTGAGGAACCAGCTGTGGCTGAACTGGATGGAGACGTAAGCCCACGTTTGAACAAATCTTAGAGGCTCCACTTCCTGCCTGTGTCTCAGCCCCAGACAGTCTCTGATAGTACCCAGCCCCATTCTCTATGCCGGATTGCTCCTACCCAACACTTTCTGCCTCCTCTCTGGCTTCCACCTTGCCTTGAGCCTAGTCCAGCCCTCATCTGAGGGCTGAGCAAGTGGCTACCACATCCTTCCCCTATTACCAGGTGCAGGGCCACAATGACCTATCTCAGGTATAGCTGTTGCTGTGGTTTCAATGTATATGCCCCCCCCAAATCCATAGGTGGAACCCTAAGACCCAGTGTGAAAGTGGGGCCTTTAGGAAGTAATGAAGTCAGCCCTCAAGAATGGGATGGGCTCTCATGAAAAGGCTTGAGGGAACTAACTGGACTGTTTTTGCCCTTCCATCTCTTGCTTTGTTAAGACACCGAGATGGTGCCAACTGTAAGAACAGGACAGACGATGAACCTGCTGGTGCCTTCATTTTGAACTTCTCAGTCTCCAGAGCTATGGGACATAAATCAGTCTCCTTGTCTGTCTCTCTCTATCTCTCTGTATATCTCTCTGTTCTCTTTCTCTCGCTCTCTCTTGGGGTACTAGGGTTTGAGCTCAGGGCTTTGTGCTTGCTAGGCAGGCACTCTACTACTTGAACCACCTCCAGCCTGAGAAATAAATATCATTTTTAAATGACTTTCTCTGTGGCATTTTTTTTTAATAGCAGCAAGACAGATGTACTCTCTGTTGCCATGGGAACTGCTGGGGACAGGTAACCAGGACCCCAGGTTCTCACACACAGGAGAGAATGGAGTCACTGTTCGGGGAGAACCCTGATCCTGCCGGCTCAAAAGCCCCATTCAAGGCTGAATTTCTATAGCTACTTTCCTGGATGTCTGGCCGGGTGGCCTCGTTGTGGATGCATGTACCTCTGTGGTTTTGTGACCCCTCCCCTCCCAGGTTTCCTTTGGCCTCTTCTTAGGATGTACTTCCCTAATCTCCTTCAGCCTTTCCTCTTCTGAAGCCTGCCTCTTTTTTTTTTTTTTACAGTACTTGGGTTTGAACTCAGGGCCTACACCTTGAGCCACTCAATCAGCCCTTATTTTAGTGATGGGTTTTTTGAGATAGGGTCTTGTGAACTATTTGCCTGAACTGGCTTCAAACCATGATCCTCCTGATCTCTGCCTCCTGAGTAGCTAGGATTATAGGCGTAAACCTCCAGTGCCCAGCCTTAAGCCTGCCTCTTAAGACATGAGTTTCTTGCTGGTAGAGTGGCTCAAGTGGTAGAGTGCCTGCCTAGCTAATGTGAGGCCTTGAGTTCAAGCCCCAGTACCAACAACACCAAAAAAAAAAAAAAAAAAAAAGATTTCTTGAGCATCAGTCCTGGCCCCTCTGGGCCTTGTGCACATCTCTTGGCCACCCCTTCTCTCCCTTGGTTTCTGTCATCATCTGGGTCCTGAAGGTCCCAGCCTGTGATTTCAGGTTACCCTGATTCCAGGCCTGGGTTTACATCTGCCTTTGGAACAGTCAAGGCTGTCCAACCTCAAAGCAGGTTCAGTCACCCAACCTGCCGTCCTGACTACTTTCTCATCTTCTGTTCCTGCTTCTGTGGCCAAGGAGAAGCAGGAGTCCTGCCAGCTTCAGTCCACTCCACAGTGCCCAGCCTACTCTGCTATGTCTGCTGACCCTGCCACTCACCCCTGCCTAACACCGCAGGGTTTCTCCACCTGTGTCCCACAACTATATCTCATCTAGAACCAAAACCTACTGAAGGGATGTTTGACAAAAGAATTCGCTGAATGAAAGAGGTCATGTAAGGGCGTATTACTCACGTTGCATACTAACCTGTGTGAGGGGAAGCAGATCCTTGGTCACCTGGGGGTGGGATGGCCTGAGGGGACGGGGGGGTGGGGGGGCGGGGAGGGGAGAGATTCTTTTGGGAGTGTCTTGCTTTGGTGATGGCTTTGTGGCACTTATATATGTCAATTCGCTGAATGAAAGAGGTCATGTAAGGGCGTATTACTCACGTTGCATACTAACCTGTTGAGGGAAGCAGATCCTTGGTCACCTGGGGTGGGATGGCCTGAGGGGGGGGGGGGGGGGGGGGGGGGGGAGGGGAGAGATTCTTTTGGGAGTGTCTTGCTTTGGTGATGGCTTTGTGGCACTTATATATGTCATATCTCACCACATTGCTTAACAACCACAATGAAGGGGGTATATCAAAATGACCAGGAGCTCCAAATGGCCAAAGTTGGGAATGATTTGAGCAAGAAAATAAATTTTAAAATAAAGTAAAATTGGAGTATAACCCAAAGTATAAACTTTATGTGAGTACTTTGCCTCCAAGAGGATGGAGTGAAATCCTCTGTGACTCCTTCCAAAGACTCCAGTGTGGAAAGGGGAAAAAAACTTGATGGGGCTGGAGATGGAGCTGTGTGCCTAGCACGCACGAGACCTTGGGTTCCATCCCCAAACCACAAAAAATAAATAGTTTTACAACAGAGAAGCATGACAAGCACCTCAGTCAAATGACTAAGGTCATCAGCAGTGGTGAGTCATGTTACTAGTATAGTATCTACCCTTGATACCGTATGAAACAAAAATGGCCTTCCATTCCTCTGATCTTCCTCCCTAAAATCCATGACCCCAGTCTAATTTTTTCAATTTGATTTAATTTTTCTGTGATTTTTTCCCAATCTAATCGTGAGAAAAACACTAGGCTGCCAAGACAAACTCCTTACTTTCAAGGTCATTGAACATAAGGAAAGTCCGAGAAACTCAGTCAAGAGCATAAGGCATGGTAACTGCTATGATTTGGATATGGCTTTCGTGAAAATTTCAAGTGTTTTTGTGAGATATTAAAGGATAGAAACTGCTAGGTGCTGGTGGCGCACACCTATAATCCTAACTACTCAGCAGAGGTCAGGAAGATTGCCATTCAGAGCCAGCCCTGGGCAAATAGTTTGGGAGACCCTATCTCAAAAAATATCAAGAGTGGCTCAGGCAGTAAGAGGCTGCCTAGCGAGCATGAATCCTTGAGTGAAAACAATTTAACTATGGTGTTTTGAGGTGGGGCCTTTGGGATGCAATTAGAATTCAATTAGGATTAGATAAGATAAAGTCATCAGGGTGGTACCCTCAGAATTGAATCCTGCTAGCCGGGCACAAGTGACTCACGCCTGTAATC